TTATCCTGTAACTCGATTATCAAGGCACACTGACTTCCATTTTATCTATTTATTTGTCATCAAAACGTTGGAAGTACTAGAAATGAATGTTTATATTTCCATGCTAAATATCCGATGAACTTACAAGGTTTCAAAACATTCATATTAGCGAGTACACAACTTCATAACATGGACACACGTATGTTGGATGGTTAACCTACGAACATGCATAGATTCTACGTAGGTTGCGTATGATATTCCTATGAATATAACGACCCTGATTATAACTAAATGTTCTAGTATTAGAGGGACAACTACTCACCTCTAAACGAAGGGGTTGATGGAACGAGACGAACGAACGGTGCTAATGAATGGACGAATGATGACTACGCTTCGCACAAACGGCCTAGCTCTTCTTCTCCTTCAACCTTGCACCCACCGGAGCTTCACCGGATGTCCCCCTTGACTGCTGTACTGGCCGAAGAAAGGGAGAGGGAGAGAAGATGAATGGTGATGATGGAGCTTAATGATTGAATTCACAATTGGGGGGTTACCAATTGAGAATATGGTGATTAAGGAGGCTATTAAATGGAAAGATGGGGTTGTTGAAAGAGCCGAACCAAGGGTCTAGGGAGGTTACAAAACTTATTTACTCCGAAATGTAAAAATCTGACCTGAACGGTACGCGCTTTTCCCCCTAAACGGGTCCGAATTGAGATCTGGTAGCATTTCTAGAATCAGATAGTCAAGACGAATTTAATGATATGATCAAATAATTTTTCTAAGAACTTTTCATTTTCCCCAACTCCGGTCCGGAACAATAATTAATTATTTAAAACAATCAATTCTGTTAGACCGGGTTGTAGTGCGTTACACTTTTGTTCATTCAAAAGACTATTAGTCATGTGGCTGCCGCGGATAATACCACACACCGAGAGAGTATCTTTCATACTCATTGCACCATTCAAAAGAAGATATGCTCAATGATCATCGATAGCGGAAGTAGTTCCAACGTTGTTTCCAAAACAGCTGTTGTATCCCAGCCTGGCCCTATCATACCCTCCCCCATTTCCCACACCCTCGCAAATACCAAAGGACTTACGTTCAAACATTATGATCCTTTTTAGTGAGAATTCCTGGTCCTTCAACCTAAGAGGCCAGAATAACTTCAGACCCAAGGGTTCCACAGGCCGACTCCATCTCTGTCCAACCCAACCCAACATATCCAAAACTCCTTGCCATTTATTTCATTTCAAAATAAAGTTTTTATTACTCTTATTTTAGCCCCTAGCCGAAAATAAGAGTGTGCAAACTAAAACCTTTTGTTTGTTGTTATTTTTCTTCTTTTAAGCCTTTTTAATAAACAAAAAAAACCTTCCTTCCTTTTATTTCCTGTCCAATTAAACCTCACAATCCCAACATAAAAACCCACAAAGAGCCAAGACCTTGACCCACCACTAGCCACTCATTCCTGCCCATGTTCCCTCACAAATAACCCAAACCCATATGTCCAAAACCACCCCTAATATTACCCAATCCTGTCCCCTTTTATTAGCCAAAAACAACCCCCCCATCTTTACCTAAATAATAGGTTTAAAACCCAAGAAACAACCACTACTAACCAAATCTCAAAACCCCCACAAACCCCAGCCCTGTCCCTGATTTTAGTCCACCAAGAAGACAAGATTGAAGAAAGATTACCCCATGCTTTGAGAGAGGATGTTGCTAGGAAGCTTCCTCATGTCTACATTCAATGCATTGTGTATTTCTTCCCCCTTCCCCTGCCTATATAATCAGGCCATATGGCCATTGTAACACACAACCTTGAATATTAAAACTCCTTTTACTCTCTGAGTATTTATAAAATAGTGTGATGCTATTTTAGCCAAATTCCTAATTCTATATCTTAAGAGTGGTTATCTTAAGTGTGAGTTTTAGGTTCTAGATATTTGATTAAGTGTGTCATATCTTAATTAAATTCTAGATTCAAACCCCAAGTTACGATAAGAGTGTGTAATATCTCTTAAACACCAACTTGGTTTATCCATCCCTGATTTTCTTCGATTTCATACCCCCCATTTCTCCTCTTAGCCTTACTCTTTTCTTCCATTAAAATACCCAAAAGACCTCCTTCATCATCCCCATATTTTTCCAGCCATTCCCCACACAACCACCATCATTTTGTTCCCAGAAATCTGTCAAATAATCGATTAACCTTGTTAACAATCGATTATCATTCCTCCGTTGAAACACCAGCAGGCCTCATTAATCGATTATCACCCTCGACAATCGATTATCCTTCATCAGTGGAAACTCTTGCAGTCCTCTATAATCGATTATCACCACACTAATAATCTGTTATACCCGAACCCGGGGTCTTATCATGTAGATAATTTGAGGGCGGGATTACGGAGGAATTAATAGCAAACTAAAACAGCCTTTAAACTTCAGGAGGGGATGATAGTCGACTGACAAAAGGAGATAATCGATTGTTAGAGAGTGCAGGAACCCTGGGGGACGTGATAATCGATTGACAAAAGGGGACACTCGACTATTGAAGGCTACAGAATTTCTGGGGAAGCTGATAGTCGATTGTCTAAGGAACACAGTCGACTGTTGGAGGCTGCAGATGTTTTTACGGAGGGCTGATAATCGGTTCCGTCATAGGATAATCGATTATTTGACAGATTTCTAGGCAGGAAGAATGGTATTTTGTGGGGGAATGGCTTGGAAATATATGGATATGATGAAGGAGTTCTTTTGGGGTATTTTAATGGAAGAAAAGAATAAGCTTAAGAAGAGAAATGGGGAGGTATGAAATGGAAGAAATCAGGGATGGATAAAACCAAGTTGGTGTTAAGAGATATTACACACTCTTATCTTAACTTGGGATTTGAATCTAGAATTCAATTAAGATATGACACACTTAATCAAATATCTAGAACCTAAAACTCACACTTAAGATAACCACTCTTAAGATATAGAATTAGGAATTTGGCTAAAATAGCATCACACTATTTTATAAATACTCAAAGAGTAAAAGGAGTTTTAATATTCAAAAGATTGTGTTACAATGGCAATAGGGCCTAAGGTATATAGGCAGGGGGAGATAATTCACCACTGAATGTAAACTTAGGGAAGCTTCCTTGCAACAATCTCTTCCAAGGCATGGGGTATTGGCCATTCATTCCTGTCTCCTTAGTGGAATAAAATCAGGAATGGGGCTAGGGGTTGTGGTGTTTTGGGTTTTAGGTTTGTAGTGGTTGTTTCCTAGGTTTTGTGGCTATTATTTGGGTAAAAATGAGGGATTGTTTTTGGCCAATAAAGGGGGACATGGCTGGGTAATATTAGGGGTGGTTTTGGACTTATGGCTTTGGGTTATTGTAAGAAACATGGGCAGGAAGTAGGGGCTGGAGGTGGGTCATGGTTTTGGCTTTTTGTGGGTGTTTATATTGGGATTGTGAGGTTTAATTGGCCATGAATTAAAAGGAATTGTTGGGAAAATATTATAGATTTTGATGATGATGTATTTAGATTGTAATAGGGACTTAAGGCCTCCGCCAATATTCAATGTAATTTTTCTTTTTAGAAATATTGTTAAAACCGAGTTGCTGAGATTTCCAATAAAGTTGTGATATTTCTTGAAGTGGTTTGATGCTTGAAGACTTAATCAAATTCTGTGATATGGAAATTGGATATCTTGATCAGAAATGTCAGAGACAAGTAAGGATTTCTCGAAGCAGATAAAGATCCTCTAATCCGGAACACTACATGAGAACTGGATGTCTCGCTACAACCCGTTGAAGGCTAAGTCATTCAAATCAGAAGACTAGCGCGGATCTCTTTCTCACCCGGAAGTCTGTAAATGACTCTTTCGGATTTGTCAGCAAAAGAACTGGATGCCTCAACAAAAGACCGGAACTCTTAGAAGCGAACAAGTGAGAAAAGATTTAAAAAAAAAAATTCTAAGTCTTGAATGAAGAAATTTTACCCATTGGTAAGGAAAAATCAATCTCTTGGTTTTCAACGGCTAGATTGAAGATAATTAAGCTGATTCAAGAACAAATGACTTGAAGAAAGAGTCTGGACCCCTCAAATTAAAGAGCTCGTCCAGAATTCCTAAACAAGCACTAGAAGACAAACTGAGTAAAGTGCTACAGTCCAGAATTCTTGAACAACAGCTAGAAGACGGATTCTATGGAAAAAGGAATCCCTCCTCAAACAATTGGGTATGTCTAAACACCCACTCCAATGAGGAATCCTCAATCACAATCTTCATTCAAAATTGAAGCCAGCAAATGCAACGGATAGTCTATTTTGATTCAACGGATAGATTATCCAATCCAGCTATAAATAGCAACCTTGGAAGACTGGATAAGAGAGAACGAGATAGACTAACACAGCGAAGCAATCTCTAATAACAAGCTATCTCATTCACAGTTAGCCCAAAAAGCTTGATAAAGAGAGATTTCTAAAACTCCTTATCCAGAAGCAAACTTCTCCTCCTTCCAAAGAGCTATAGTGTAAAACTTGAAGGTTTCCTTGCCTCATGTACCACACCACGTTGAAGGATATAACTTTTGATCAAACTTCTTGATTAAAAGGGGGGGGGGTAGATAAACTTTCTCACAAGTTGATCTTGCAGGTCCTATTGTTCGGATCTTGTAGTTGTTGAAGAAGCGTGACCTTCGAAGGAACAACAAAGCCAGCACGAGTGCAGTAGCAACTTTGTCCTTGTGAAGATACACCGTGCGGAATCACACAAGTGTAAATGTTGGTTCTTTATTCAACAACCAACTACATAGTGGATTTTGAGGACGTAGTAGGATTACCCCACCTTCAAACCTCGTTAAAGTTTGCGTGTCTCTCTCTTGTATCTTTACTCTTACTTGCAATTATATTAACTGTGAAAACTAACCCATCTATATTGATTACTTCTCATACTACCCACCAAATTCTGCACACAATCTAAAGTTCCCAAGAACTCTAGATTTACACTATTTTCACGTTTTCAAAAGAAACGAAAAATTTTTAAAATTGTAACAAAGTGTATTCACCCCCCCTCTAGACTTTGTATCTCACCACTTTGGGACCACCAATTGGTATCGGAGCATCCTTCTCACTATCTACATTTAGATTAACGAGAAGCGATCATAATGGTGAACAATATGGATCACGGTTTGCCCAAGTTTTCTCTTCTAGGTTATGATGATTGGAAAATCATGATGGAAGCACACCTTTACGCCCTACATGATTGCATGTGGATGGTGCTTGAGGATGGACCCTTGAAAATCCAAATGGAGAACCCTGAGAGGAATCCGGCCAATCCTGATGTTGTCCAGTACATTCCAAAGCCCAAGGAGAAATGGGATGATAGAGATTGCAAGAAGCACAATCTGGACAACGTCGCCAAAGCAGCCATCTTCAAGACACTTGATCCCATCACCTTCTTCAAGATCAAGCATCTCAAGACTGCCATGGAGATTTGGCAAGGTCTTGGGAAGCTGTGTGAGGGATCGGAGGACCTGAGAAAGCAGAAGATAGAAGTGCTGCTTGAAAAGTTCAAAAGCTTCAAAATGCTTCCCGGAGAATCATTTGATATATTGGATGAAAGATTCCACAAAATCTTAAATGATCTTGCATCACTTAACCACATTCTTTCTCCCAAAGAAAAGAATGTAAGGTTACTGAGATCTCTTCCAACTGAGTGGTACACAAAAGCCACAGCCATGGAAGAAGGAAGAAACCTGGAGAACTACACTGTCCAAGGTCTCCTTGATGAGCTCAGAACCTATGAGCATGAGCTGATGAAGAAGAAGGAAGAACAAGTCACTCCCTTCCCCACGTCTTTGATGACAACTCCTAGAGTCCCACCGAGTGAAGGGACATGGCCAAGGAACTTGACACACCTTCCTTCAGCCAGCCGTCATGCTCAAATATGGAGAACTATGATGAGGAATTTGCCATGATGGTCAAACAATTCTAGAAGTTCAAGAAGTTCTTCAAGAAAGCTGACTCAGTCAGAAGGCCATCCAAGGGAAAGCCACAGGTAAGTGACTCCCCTCCTGAATCTTATTTATGTTATAATTGCAGGAAACCTGGTCATTGGAAGTCAGCGTGCCCGTACCCAAAGGTGGAGAAGTACGGAGAAAGAGAAAGGAATGAAAAGAAGAAGAAAGCAATGGTTGCAGCTGAAAGTGACGAGTCATCCAGCTCAAGCTCGGATGAAGAAGCCCTCGTCTGCATGGAGCGCAGAGCTGAGAAGTCCAACCATGAGGATCGGTTGACTATGTCAGAAAATGACACCCTTTTGGGATACTTAAGTCCAAAGAAGCAGTGAATAAGCTTCTTGAAGCGACCAAACAAAAGGGTCGTGAAGGACTTGGGTTTGACCCATCCAGTTCCAAAAGGAAAGGGAGAACAACTTACATTCCTCCTAAACCTACTGCCAAATCCAATAAGCAGAAAGGAAAGGAAAAGGAGAAACCCACAGAAGTTGCCAAAAAGGTAGTCCCTCCTAAGAACTATTGGAAGCTAGACAGACCTCAAAGAGGAAATAATTTCAGAAGAAAACCTTCTAAACCCCACTATACGCGAGGCTATACTCATTATGGGGTAGATAGGAGTTTTCCAAGAAATTCTGAATGGAGAACTGTGCCAAAATATAGTCAACCTCCACCCTAGAAACTATTTGTTCCACCTAAGTATGCTTACAACCGACACAGGCCACGCTATGCACAACCTAAACAAAACTATAGGTCTTATCAACCTAGGTTTGCCAGGTGGAAACAAGAAAATGCACCATCTGCTCGTAGGAAATTTTATGCATACAACTATGATTACAATACCAACAAGTTTAGGGCTGCAAGGAAAATTCCCTGCAACTTCAAATTTGATGTAGGGACACACACCATTAACTATTCCGGACCCAAACTGAATTGGGTACCAAAATCTTCCTCCTCCTAATGCAGGAAGCCGCTAAGTACCCAGGTGTCTGGTACTTAGACAGTGGCTGTTCAAGACACATGACGAGTGATGCGAGTCTTTTGAGCAATCTAATTCCCTATGATGGTCCAAGAGTTACTTTTGGAGGAAGCAATGACTTTGGCCTTACTAAAGGGCTAGGAAATCTGGTGTACAAGGGACTAACCATCCAAGCTGTATCTTATGTGGAAGGTCTCAATTATAACCTTCAGAGCATAAGTCAGTTTTGTGATAAAGGTTACTCCTTGGAATTCTGCAAGGACTGTTGGGAAACGAGGCTTGGATAACGTAGCGGAAAACAAAATTTTATAGTCGAAAACTCGATTCCACCCAAGAACAACTTACGTAAATTACTAGCTATAGTAAGAAATTTACCTTAACGGTGAAAACGGAGAATGGAGGAACGGTCGGAGATGGTTTTGAGGAGATGAACGTAGCGCCAAACGTATGAAGCCTCCAACGTATCCACACGAACTTGCTCCGGAGTCCAAGATTAAACTTGTGCTAGCAAGTTTAATATAGGATAGTAAAAACTATAATAATACTACTTTGGGAGTAATAAATATATAGTAAAATATTTATCTTATAAATATTTCTTTATAATATTTTGTGTATATTTCTAACACTTTAGAAAAATAACTTTGAACACAAAATAGGATTTTTTTCTTCTCTCTAAAATGGGATGGCCGAAAATTTGAGATTTGTTTTTCAAAATCAAGAC